AGTCCTAGGGGCGCGGCCCCTTAGCTTAGAGAAAATATCTTTATTACACCTTATATTTTACAGTAAAGGTCACCCCTCGAGAAAAGCCTGGCTTATAGGTCCTATACTACTAGCTAGCCAAGGATATACCTAGTTAGAGTATATTAAATAGTAGTAACTAAGCTTAAGGGCAAGGTTCGCGTACTACCGCCCGGCGCGGACTACGTGTGCTAAGACTAAACAGGTATATAGTTCACTAGCAAACGCTGGCGTACTAGGCGTAGCCGCCCTTAACGGCGCGAACTACGTGTACTAAGATTAAATAGACACGCGGTATACTAGCGGTCACCGTCACAGACTATATATACTAAGACTAAACAGGTATATAGTATACCGGCGGATACGACCGCTTATACTAGGCGAAAACGCCTCCCCTTTAATAGGTTTAGGGGTAGAGTAATAAAAGGAACCACTGTTAAGCGTAGGAATAACGACTATACTAACCTATACTAACCGTGGAACCCGAGCTTCGATACCGCGATAACCTTCCTAAGGATTACTAATCGGCGTAGGCGATTATACTAACCTGCACTGATATTAACCGTTCTTAACGATCGCTAAAGGGCGCAGGATAACGCCTATACTATCCTATATACTAGCGTCCTCCGTAGAACCAGAGTCCTAATAGAACCACGGGGTACTAAACCCCTAATCGCCTCCCCTTTAATAGGTCTAGGCGCGGAGTACTAAGGAATCCACGGTCGCTAAATACGTAGGAATAGCGACTATACTAACCTATATACCGGTATGCACCGTGGATCGATCCTAAGCTCTAATACACGGTAACCTTCATAATAATCGCTAGTCAGGCGTAGGATAGCGATTATACTAACCTATACTAACGCCGAACCTCCTAAACAATCGCTAAAGGGCATAGGATAGCGACTACTATTCTATATACTAGCGTCCTCTATAGAACCCGAGCTCCGGCAAAGAACCACGGGGCGCACTAATCCCCCCCTTTTTTTTCACCGTAGCACTAAGCCACTCGATAATTTCCGCTTCCCCCCCCCCTTTCACCGTGGCACTAAGCCACTTAATAATTCCCCCCCCTTTTTTTCTCCTTTTCCCGCGGAGTACGAGGGGAGCCAGCCTCCCCTTACCGTAAGTTTCCCTTTACCCGCACTTCGCGGAGAACGTTTTCCTCCTAGCACGGCTCGCCTTTATCCGACCGGCTTAACGTGCCGAGAATATCTAAGGCTAACGGCGTAGTAACCCTAAGAGGAAAAGCGTAGAATTAGTATCCGTGCGAGAGGCTATATATCCTAAGGCTTAGGGGGTATATCCTAGCCTTTATCGGATTTACCCGAGGCCTTTTAGCTATCCTCCTTATTAGAGAGAGGGCTTCCCCTTATTCCACTAGCCTTTACCGGGTTGACCCGAGGTTTCCTCGGCTTTCCTCTTAGTTAAAGGGAGGGCCTCCCTATAATAGACTCGCCTTTAACCGTGACCGATAAGTTTACTAAGGCCCCCCGGCCTATCCACGGACTATAGCACGTATACCGCTATATTCATTATTCTGACCAGGACCCTAAACTCCTATTAGACTTCTAGACGCCGTGGAAGGCCGTGGTATCCCCGGACAGCTAAACGGTAGAGATCTCTACTCGCCTTACTACCGGCCTAGGATCCGTATATAGACCCGTTCCCCAGGTAAATATCGTGGTTTATTTAATTCCTTATACCCGCCCGCGGTACTCCGCTATATTATCGCTCTATATCGTGGCTAACTATCTCCCCGAAACGTATCCCCGTCATATTACGACGTATACTCTTTTCCTTTCCCTTCTATCCTTTCCCTTCTTCCCTTTCCCTTCTTCCTTTTCCTTTCTTCCTTTTCCCTTCTTCCTTTTCCCTTCTTTCCTATCAGTTATAAATACTATCGCCGCCAGAGGACGCCCGCGGCACGTAGGGCTTACGTCGCTCGGGGCAGATACTTAGGGATAAAAGCCGTTATATAGCTAAAATTCGGTTACCGCTAACGAATAGCATTATAGACGAAAGCCGTTACGTAAAGCCGTTATATAGCTAAAGTTCGATTACCGCTAGCGAATAGCGAGACCTATATAAGCACCGTAAGAATAAGGTAACCCTACTAATAAGGGATAAAGTTAGCTAGCTTACCGGAATAGTTAGACGCCGGAAAAAGCTATAAAGGCGCAGGAACTAACTAATATCTTTAAGGTTTAGATAAAGACCTTAGTTAATCTAAGGATAGCTTTAAAGAAGGCGGAGGTTCCGAGGGTACTGTAGCCGGGTAATAGTAAAAAGCTATAAGGTAAACAGAGGAACTAGGAGACTACTAAGGTATTATAAGGTATACCGGCGATACGATATAAGATAAGCGCTATCGCCGCCCTAGGTAATAGCCAGGGAACGCTAAGGAATACCAGGGAATTGTAAGAATAAAAGGACTATAACCTATATATACCTTTTATAGCCGCCGTAATAACCACGGTTACCACGGCGCTCTATATAGCGCTAGGAAAAATACTATCGCTTTTATAGCGTATAGCTATTATTCCCCTTCTATTCCTACTTATTACTACTACGACTATTTATATCGCTAACGTGGTTTACTATCGGTTCCTAAATCGTATACTATCTCTTCCTAATACACTATTAATTATATTTAGAGCGTGCTAAACTACACTAATAAATTACCCCTTTATATCGTGGCCTATTATCACTTAGTATAAGTCGACCCCTTATAAGCTCGTCGTCTTATAAGGTATTCTAAATTCCCCCCTTATACTCTCCCTAATACCTCTAAAACGCACCGCGGGCGCGTTTATAACTCCTATATACTTCGTAGTCAGGATCCTATTATCGTACTAGCCGTCTAAGGATTTAGTTTACAGGGATATATTCGATAAAGCGTTCCGAAATCCTAAGAAACCCGGCTCGGGTTTTACGAAGGAAGGTTATTTTAGGGCGGTTACTCTTTACGGGAGAGAGGAGAGACTTAAGAACTAGCTTTTTCGTCTCGGTATAAGATTTATAGTCTAGAAAGAATCTTACTAAGCTAAGATTAAGGAATACCGTAGATACGCCGAAGCCTAAGGCTATAATAATCTAAAGACGCGTGACCTTAACCGTATAGTGTTTATTCCGTATAACTACCCCTAGCTACACCGCGTTATTATTAAGTATAAAGCACGCGAAATTACTCGATATATCCCTTAGCCCGAATATACCCTTAACGTTAATAAGGAACTCGCCTTTTAGGAACGAATAGCCGAGTCGTTTAAGGTGTTTACTATAGCACGCGAAGTAAACGCCCTTTATAACTACGCAGGTAAGTTTATTAAGATACCGTAAACCGGGCGTACCTTTAACGCGGACTCCCCGGCTATTATGTCCGGCCCTTACTCTATTACGTTTATCGATCTAAAAGCTAAGGCTAAGGCGGTAAACGCCGTAACCGCCCCCTTATCCGCTAATATCCCCCGGGGTAAGACCCTAAAAAGGCTAGCGAGTTTAATAGTTCCCGGCTTTATACTCTAGTATATTCGGGACCATATATACCTATCTAAGGCCGTGTACGATATAGTTATTATAGAAGCCTAAGGAACTATAGTATATATAGAACTTAAGATAAATATAGGCTAGTATACTAAGTAAGCTAACGCGATAAATGAGCTAATCCGTAAGTTCCTCCACGGACTACCCACGGAAAAGGGTAAGGAGCTAGCTCGCCATATACTAACGGTCTAGGAGTTCCTCGCTATAGTACGCACGGGTAAGGAATTAACGCTCGCGCTATCTAATAAATATACCGTACCCACTAATCCCGTAACGGAATAACCGGCTAAACGTATTATCGGCTTTTCCGA